AAAAAAGAGGCCTATATAAAAGCACTCTAATTAAGAGATATAATAGATGTATCGTAAGTACAAAAAAGATTAGAATTTGTAGACCAAAGAGAAGCAGTGACTGTGATGTCCTCCCAAATATTGGTTGTAGTCTTCGAAAAACCTGTAAATGTTCGGTAATTTCTTTCTAACCAAGTATGCCAAAGAATAGCACTTATAGCATTGCTCCATAATACAGACTTCTGGTTAGAGAGAGGAATGCTAAGATTTTCTGTGATGAATAAATCGACTTGGCAAGGAATCGCACTTTGGACCTGAAAAATGTAGAAGAGATGATGCCATAAACTTGAAGTAAAAGGGCAATGAAGGAAAATATGGTCCAAAGTTTCAGATGCCGATTTGCATAGCGGACACCAACTGGGACTGATGTATATATGTGGAAGACGATTCTAAAGCTTGTTCTTTGTGTTTAGAGCTCGATGAAGAATACACCAAAGAAAAAATTTACACTTCTTCGGGATGAGTAAATTCCATAAGGTGGAGAAGAAGTTCTGGTGGTGGGGATGAGAGATAATCCTGAGCCGAAGGCAGCCTTTAATTGACTTCACTGAAAAAAGACCATCAGTGGAAAGAGTCCATTTAGGAGAATCTTTCCCATGAAAATTCGCCGGAACCGGAAAAGTAGAGGATCAGAGAGACCATTGTGCTTGTTCCCTCTCGAATAACGGTCTTCTCGGAGTGAAATTCCAACAACCAAAGTCCATATCCCAAGCTTCATAGACTGTCATATCTTTTCTACTTGTAGCATAGAATCAGGGAAGAAGTTGACATAATGAGCCATTACCAGTCCAGTTATATGATGCCAAAAGAGAAACCCCCGCTCTTTCTTGATTGCATGAAAACGCCTTACTTTCCCATCTGCAACAATATTATTTTAATTATGATCAAACAAAACAATATTAAATGAAAACCATGTTTTTTTAGTAATTTGGTTTACCTTGGACTGCCAAATATTTGTCTCTAATATTATCATAAACGAGAAACGTGAACACAACATTGACCTCTGAAGTTGGATTAATGTCATCATCAGCCTTTACCAAATAGAGGGATATATGATCCAGCCCCGTTTCTTTTCACATCTCCATTCGGATACACTGCTAATTTCCTACCATAACAAACCAAAAGAAAAAATGTCCCAAAAACAAATAGTGAGAAATGGATAAAATTCCTTCAAAAGTGAACCTATAATGTAAACATGGGCTCGACATTATGGCACATGTATTTTTTTAAAAAGAGGAACCAATACATGTTAGCATGTATGAGAGACATTAAAAAAAAAAAAGCTTAGATGAAAGCAATCCAATTTAGCGAAATAGTAGATAAGTTATAATTACAAAAAAAAGAGATTTTAAGGACAATGATGATGTGGAGACTTTGATATCTTCCCAGAGAGGGATAGAGAAGTCTAGAAGAGGTGGAGCAGCAGTCCATAAACAATGGCTTGCTTCTTTCAAGCCATACATTCCATATTACACATTTTGTTTGGAGCGAAACAACCTGTTAGGTTCAATCGGTGAGTTTTGTCACATGCACAGAGCTTTTTGGTTTGAAATCMGAGAAGAGATTTAGAGAAAGGAAGATGAAGATAAAGATTTTTAGAAGTCCCTACATCCACGTTTTGCAGCAGCTTTATTTCACTTAGTAAATTGATTACAAGCTAGCTAGGTAAAGAACACACATCCCCTTTTCTCCTTTTATACAGATTAATTAAATGGGTCTTCTTCAACTAACAGCCCAACTGAACTTTCAGTTGGATTCAGAGAGAGGTAAGTTCTTCACAACCGAATCTTTTCCAACTCAGATAAATCTTGTGTTTAATCTGGGAGGACATTAAAGTTTCAGCATCAAATTAATCTTACAAATCCCAACTTTTTGTAATTATGACATTTCTATCATTTTTTATCATTTTGTGTAATTGGAGCGCTTTACATGATCTTCATTTTTTATGTTTCTCACATAAATGGTTGGTTACTTTTAAAAAAAAAACTGTAAACACTACCATTTATAACCGCCAGCATTGAAGAACTGGGATTCATATCTGTCACGATTGGAAGTAGCAAGTGAGGTCTTGAGCAACGAGAAAGATTGGATTTGTAAGGAATAATGGAGAGGTTTTTCATTTCTAGTGGATCTCAGAACTGCAACTGCAAAAGATGGAAAATTTAGCATCCAAGAATAACAAAGTAGAAGAAGAACAAGTTTATGGAACAGTTGATATCGACTTTTAATGCTTAAATTGGAACTTCAAGAGAGAGAGAGAGAGTAGTCACCATCTTCGTTGGAAATGATATTGTTCTTTTCGTCTCCCAAATCTGCCTGTTTCCTCTTTGTTCCCATTGTCGTTTCTTCTTCCTCGGTAAGAAAAGGCAATAAAAATCCCACCTTTGTACCAACATTTTGGGAAGGGGGAATGCAAAAAGTATTATAATAGTAATACATCATAATTATTTTAAATTCAATCCACCGTGGTTATATTATATTCAAAACTAAAGGGCACAAAAATAAATTATAATTAAATTAAATTAGAGGAAAAAAAATCAATTTTGTAATCCAAAAAACTTGACCAAATGTATGCATTTCTCACCATTAAACTTTTTTCTGACATTTTTTAAATAACATCGAAAAAAAGAGAGGGAAAAAGAGGGGGAGAAACGATAAAAAGATAGGGAAAAAGAGACGGGGGAATGAAAATTTTAAAAATTTTGGGACTCTTCCCGACGTTTTAAAAAAGTGGAGGGAAAAGTTGACTTTTCCCAACTTTTTTTCAATAACATCGGTAGCATTAAACTTTTCCCTCATTTAGAAAGCAGGGAAAATTTTAATTAATCCCGACGTTTTGAAAACGTTGGAAAATTTTTGACTTTTTCCGATATTTTATTACAACCGTTGAGAAAAGTTTGACTTTTACCGACATGGAAAAGTCACTTTTCCCTGCGTTGGGACAAGTGATTCTTTCCGAGATTTTTTGTGGGTCGGAACAACCCAACTTTGTTATATAAGGGTGATAATTTTTATCACTATTTAGTTTTTACTAATTGGTCCACTCATTTTAAGAAAAATCAATACACAAATCTCAAAAAAAAAAAAAAATTACTAACTAAAATATTTGTTTAAAATTAAAAATAAAAAATTACTACTTCTTTTTCTTTATTTTGAAACTTGTTTTTTTTTTCCTAATTTGAAAGCTTAATTTCTTACCATAAAAGAAGCTTGATTTATATTTCATTTTCATGAAAAACTTTATTTTATTTTTTTAAGGGGATTTAATCCCAAATATTTTTATATAGTTACAAACTTACACGTCCGGAGCTAGTTTCGTGCAATTCAGGACTGAGTCAAAACTAACCAAAATCCTTAGAAAAAGAAACCCAAATACCCACATATTTCAGAACCACAAATAAATCAATTACCCACTTAAATAAACTTACTTTCAAAACCACAAATAATCAAAATATAAAAATACAAAAAAATTTTAGAACAATTTAAAAGTCTCAAACCTCAAATATCCATAATATTTCATAATTACAAACTTCAATATTCGAATCACAAAAATCAAATACTCGGATAAAAAATAGTCCAAATAAAGTAAAATTATAGTCACAAATCTCAGATTTTTTTAAATCACAATTTTCAGAAATTTTCTTACTGCTCGCCGGAGGAGGAGGAATTGTGTGGCCTGTGGCACTGAGCAGACGAGAGACAGATGAAAGATATGTATGATAAAGAAAAACAAAAGAGTTTTTACTCGAAAGAATTTTGGCTAAATTTATTCACCAATTTTGTGTGATGCCTCTTTATATAGAGCTAAAAGAATCCTACAGAGTTTAGGAAATCTAAAAAATCTAACTTGAAAATTGATTTTAAAATCCTTATTTAAATTTGACCTTTTGCACATACTTTTAAAGTTGAAATTCTGATAAAGCCCTTATTGATGGTTGAAATCTTGTTTTATTTTTGTTTCCTAATGAAAACAAAATTTAATATGACCAAATACGTGTATGACTGACTAAAGGGTAGAACTACATGAATGAACTGATACTTACTACCTATAACTATACCGATAAGATACACCTTTTCCTTTTCGGTGGCTCAATCATAAGAGCTGCCGCAGTCAATATTCCAAAATCAACTCTCTCTTTTCCAAAATTTGAAAATAAATATTTATTATTATCATTATTATTTTAGAAAATTATTATTTGTTTTTAATATTAATAAAATTCAATAATGACATGAAATCCCTCCCAAAATTTAATTTCACAAAATTCATTTTCCCATTAACTATGTTGTATAAGAAAGCTTAAAAAAAATTCGAATTTGAGAATGAATTTGTTCCCTTGAAATTTCTCATTCAAACAAAAAACAAATCTTCAAAATCTTTTGAGGAAAAGTGGTTTTCTTTATGGGTTTTTCCTTATAATTATATAAATACATGAAATTCTTAAACTATATTAATTTTATAAAATTATTATTTTAATCATTTTAATCAAAAATAAAAAATTTTGAGAAATTGTAGTGTTTTCTCTATAATTTTTTTTTTTAAATTCACAAGTACATAAAAATTCTAGTGAAAAATAAAAACATCAATTTTCATAGAGTAAAAATAATGTTTTATTTATGAATTTTTATGAATTTCAATAATTCAAGACAAGTTTCTTAAAAGATTTATTAAAATTAAATTTCAACAATCCATGAAAAAAAAACATAAAGATTGAATAGTGTCTTCTTTTTTAAATTTCCCATTAGAATGAATTTAAATAATTCAGGACAAGTTTTTTTCAAAATTATTTATTAAAATTAAATTTCAATAATTCATCACAAATTTTAAAAAATTATAAACACGTCAGAATAGTTCTACAAAAATTCTTGAAATCTTCAAAAGATGGCATTGCATATCTAAGACAAGACAGCGCATTATGATTATCCCAAAGAGATGGAGCAGCATTATTTTATTGAATTCCCTTCTAGAAAAGCTTCAAAGTAGACACAACATTGATCTTCACTTCAACAATCAAAGTGTCATCACAAATGTAGCCTTTCGTGACTTCATTGAGATCTCTCAAAGACATGAAATTCCGAAAACCCAAACCTAAATCGCCAAACTCGAACCAGTACTTACCTGCACACACACAATTAAAAACAGCCAATAACTTTAGTCTTTACATAGAACCAAAACCAAACCAAGATTTCAAATTAAAAATAAGCTTTGGAAATTATGGTAAAACCAAAACGTTAATGTTTAATTACTTTCTATTTTTTTGTGTCGGCCAACTCCATATTTACTGAGCACAGCTATTTCAAATTCAGTATACACTTGAGAACCTTGAGGAAGCTCTTTAAAACTATCAAACATCAGTTTCAATGACAAAAACCCAGATCTTGCCTGTGAGCATCCTTTAGGATGTAGCCTTATCTTCCTGAAATACAAATTATTATTATATATATATATATATATATTAAAGGTGTATATAATCTAAAATTTTCATACCAACGGTAGCCCTCCACTGTAAATGGATCAGATTCATACATATTCTTATCTAGTTGTGAAAAGTTGTTGGTTTTCCAAGTATATTCGTTATTTTTTGGTTCCTTGATGAAGGAAACGACCTCCCCTTTCCCATCACATTTCTTGACAACGATATCCACTCCAAATGCACAGCAATCACCAACTAAAAACCCATTTGAAGAATCATTGAAAGTCTCAAGAGATATCAACTTTTCAAATTCCCACTCTGTCTGGATTGAATGGAAACGTCTTACTTTCTCATCTGCAATAATATTATTTATGATATCAAACTGAACAAAATTAAATTAGAACCACGTTTTGAGTAATTTTGGTACTTACCTTGGACTGCCAAATATTTGTCATTGAGATTATCATAAACAAGAAACGTAAACACAACATTGACCTCTGAAGTAGGAATGCCATCCTCAGCCTTTACCAAATAGAGGGATATATGATCAGATCCATTTCTTTTCACATCTCCATTGGGATACACCGCTAATTTCCTACATAACAAACAAACAAAAAAAGTCCCAAAAACAAATAGTGAGAAAAATGAGTAAAATTACTTCAAATTGTGAAGCTATAAGTAGTGTAAACTCTACCATTTATAACCGCCAGCATTGAAGATCTGGGACTCATATCTGTCACAATTGGAAGCAGCAAGTGCGGTCTTGAGCAACGAAAAAGATTGGATTTGTAATGTATAATGGAGAGGTTTTTCATCTCTGGTGAAACTTAAAACTGCAGAAAATAATTAACCAGATAACTCTACAAATAATCCATTGATATTTTTATATGAATTACGAAGAAGTTGAGAGATTGATTGAGAGAATGTTAAAAATACCACAATTAATTACCAGAATCAGCTGCCTCAGATGAGGGGGAGATTGTATTGTTCCTCTGCATTCTCTTTCCCACGTTCGCAAGTAAACAGGCAAACCTAAACTTTTATACTGTATTGTTTGTCTATTCGTATTCCCATTTTTATTTTATTTATTTATTTTTATCTTTTATGACTTCTGTTTGATTCGTATTCCTTCTTCTTTTTCTTTGTAAGTAGTGCCGCCGGCGCCGCCTATTTGTAGTTCCGAGTTTTTTTAGGAAAAAGAGAAGGAAAAAAAAACAAATAAAACAAGATAAATTGGTTCCATTAATAATTTCAACTTAAAAATGGGAAATATTGTTCTTTGGTTTAAGTTTTTAAAATAATGTTGGGAAGTTGATTTTAAGAACCCTTCAGCCACAGGGACAAATGTTTTTTTTTTTTTACAAAGGGCAAGATTTAGAATTGTATATATATATATATATATGTCGAGATTTCATACATTTTATGAAAAATTTAATAGATTCATGAAATTCCTCCTTGAAACTTTAAGATGTTCAAGTATATTTAGATTTTCTAGTGCTGCTTAAGTAATTTAATTAGGTTTTCACTTCACACTACTAGAAATTCGGTCTACCGTGACGTTTTTTTGGCGTCACAAAAATCTTTCGTGACGTTTTTAACGTCGTCACGTATACGCCCATCACGAAAGGTATACGAGACGTTTAAAAAATGTCACAAAGATTAGCACACGTGACGGTTTATTAGCGTCATGAAAGACATGGACTTCCACGACGTTCATAAACCGTCATGAAAAATGATTTTGTGACGGTTATAGAATGTCACAGAAAGACCTTGAACAGGGGAGGAGAGGTCACGTGACATCCTTTCGTGACGATGTTTAAACGTCACGAAAAGTGTATTTCGTGACGGTGTTTACACGTCACGAAAAGTGTATTTCGTGACGTTTGATAATCGTCCTAAAAAATATTTTGGTGACGGTTTAAAAACGTCATTAATGATTTTATTTTGTGACGATAAAAAGAGGGTCACTCAATATGTATTTAATTTTGATTGTAGATGTCGCAGAATATAAATATTATATTGTTAAATTGTCGATCGAACACGCAAATATATTAATTTACCATAACAAAGTTGAAATATATTAAACATGAACAAGGAAGCTAATATATTAATTTAGAATGTACTAGTATTCTCAAACACAAATTACATAATTACAGAATTAAACATGTTCTTTACACACGAACCCCAACAACGATGCTCAGCCACAAATTAGTTGCATTTCTAATTGTCGACATCTTTGAGGTAATAAAGACCTAATGAAAAAACAATACCCAAGTTAGATAAATGATTAAACAAAAACCAACCTACTCATCAACATTCATAGTCTTCCTTATCAACTTACTCAATAATATAATAAAACAACCAACATGACGACCAAACAGAAGAAGCGCGATTCAAATAAACGACATGCCTACACTTTTTCTATCTCCTTAAATTACATAGCACAAAATATCAGTACAATCATCCTGTAAGGAAAATATCAATATGATATGATAACCAACAAAATGATCAAATAACATTCCAACATAACAAAAGAGGTTACAATAACAAAAATAACCGAACACTTCTTCTATATCCTTCAGCAGCATAGCACAAAATGAAATTAAATAATATAACACAAACTAGCTAGTATAGCAGAGGGGTTGTAAACATACATTCCTCGTCTATAATCAATATTTAGTATTCCTTGTAAACGTACTCAATAATATAGCTATAGTCCCAGTATATAACAAGTTCGATTCATAAGTATTTAATATTCAAATGTTATAGTATGAATGATGACAAAAAGCTTAAAATATCTTACCTTTGTTATGATGGAACTTTGAATGAAATGGCCACAACATGCTTCAGCTCACCCGGACGCAGTTTGACAAGCATTTCAAACCCTTACAACTTCTTGTTCTAGTGCGAAGATTGCTCTTGTCATATAAACCGATAATAAGCAACTTAGGAAAATGAGCTTTCTCAAAAAACTTGACATAAACAATAACATCCAAACAAAGTTTTAAATAATACAGCACCGCATATGCGTTGAGCTACGAAGCCAACTCTTCGGTGTTTACATGGAACCAAGCTAAACATTTTGAAGTTGCAACCCCAAAGCCATGGTGATAACTCCTTCCCTTGCCTACTTTGTCCATCACCTTATCTATTAGCTCACAATCTTTCGTTCTCCGCTTGCTAAAATTGTTCTAACATTTTTCACTTACTAAAGGTTTGATATATTTATTTTACTGTTGCAACTGTAGCAGGTTGAAGTTGATCAAATACGACTGCAATTATCACATGGCAAGATCTACCTCACAAACTTGGTTAAATGGAAAGTAGACAAATGCTTCATTGATGTGTGATGTATTAAGAAATCATGAGCTACGCTGTGGTTTTTTTAAACTAAATCTATTGACTGAGTACTTAAGCTAGAGACATATATATAGTAATGAAGATAACATGACAATCAATAGAAACATAACAAGTATAAGAATGGACAATGAAATGACAAAATAGAACACATTAAATTATTGATTTTAG